AGTTGCTAAGAGAGTGGATCTTAAATGTTCTCACCACAAAAAAGAAAAAGGTAATTATGTGATGGGATGAAGTTTAGCTAATACTATGGTGGTAATCATTTTACAATATAAAAGTGTATCAAATCAACGCATTGCACAACTTAAAGTTAATGATATATATTAATTATATTTCAATAAAGCTGGGATATATATATAAATATATACAAATACATATCTATGCACCTTGTGCCAGTATAAAATGAACTGTGAGATCTTGTCCTCAGGGATCATCCAATCTGGGACCTTGTTGTCAGCTATGTCAAGGACACTCTGCTAGCACCCTGGATTCCTTCATGCATCGTCCTTCCCTCCACAGCCCATGCCAGATGCTAACACTGAATTGGCTACAACCCATGCATTGCAGGATGTTGAGGACCACTTCTCCTGTGGTCCTAATGCTTTGTAAGTCTTTCCTAATCTAATAGGACACTAAGTAGGAGTTTTCTTATTGATAACCAAGGCCAAGGGGAAGATGAAAAGTCACCAGGACCATACATTCTAAAGAAAAACAACAAACTCCCCTACACTAATGGCTTACTAAGAAGCAACCAAAGGGGCTCTGTTGCCAGAAACCACTGGCTAGCTTGCAGACTTACTTCCCAGAATGGAGAAAGATTCTGGAATATCACTGGCTTTCTAAGGAGCACCGTGTCTAGGTGAGAATCCCTCCAACTCTGCTGTGGGGTCAGGAACTCAAAGAGAAGGGGAGAACTGCATGAAGGGGAGATTGCATTCTCTGCCCTCCACCTCCCCTGCCCACTCTCCCACCTGCTGTATAGTGGGTGGGGTTGATGGGTTTCACAGCTTCACAAGTGAATGCGATAGTTCCTTAAATATGTCACTGAAATTTATATTTCTAGGTATGAAAGGAAAGAAATGTGATTTAACCTATGGGCCCTTTGAGGTCAAGTGTAATTTCTTTCTTATACATTTCTAGACATCAATTTTTTAAAAGTGACACTATGAGAAAGCTATTTTAAATTAGATGGTCTATATTAAATAGCTATAAATTTTAAAATGTTGGTTTTCGGGTGAGATCAAATAGTTTGTTACTTCCAGCAAACACATCAACTGTTTTTTTAAATGGAAATTTCTAATTTAGTTTTTAAATTAAATTATGTATGGTAAAATTCATTGTTCCTGGTATACCATTCTGAGTTTTGACAAATACACATGGTCATGTAACCATCAAAATCAAGATGCAAAACCATTCTGTGACCATCCCCACATTTCTTTGTGCTGCCCTGAGGAATTTTCTTTATGGCACGTAAGATACTGCCTGTTTTCTGACAAGGCAATTTGCTTTAAAGACAAACTCGGGCTTATGTACAGTTGGCAAGTGAAGCAAAATATCCCATAGAGAGTATCAGTGATTCAGAAGAAAGTAGTATCTTTGACTTTATTAGTTTGGATAATGACATATGCCTTCACATAAGAGGTGCTCTAAGCATGTCTATCTTTGAATTCTTCAAGGATAAAGTTCATTGGCTGACCATGGTTTTCTTTTCCTTTTTTTTTTTTTTAAGATTTTGTTTATTTTTTTGAGAGAGAGAGAGCACAAGCAGGGGGAGGGGCAGAGAGAGAGGGAGAAGCAGACTCCCTGCGGAGCAGGGAGCCTGCCCTGGGGCTCCATCCCAGGACACTGAGATCATGACCTGAGCTGAAGGCAGATGCCTAACTGACTGAGCCACCCAGGTGCCCCTGACCATGATTTTTCAACTGTACCCAACTACAAGATGTGATTACCAAACCTGCCTCTGATGATCAGGTGTATAGTTTCTTTCGTTTCCTGGATATTGGGAATTGCCTGCTTCTACAGAATCCCACGGTCAATTCTCCTGCCTATATTGATCTCCATATATTTGATATTTTGCCTCCAGAACCTAACAGGATCTCCTAAGCACTATAAATTTTGGAATATTGGAGAGGAGACATAAATAAGCATGTAGTCAGCATTTTCCAGCAGGAGTTAATATTCAGAGCTTCTAAATGGACACAATAGGCACCATGTCAAAAGTTCACACATCAGCAGTTCAAATACATTGTTCCTCTTGTATATGCCATGTGTGACAAGAGGTTCCACCACAGACTCTCAGAATATCTCATCTTGCAGAAGAGAAAATCACAATGAATTTTACTAATTAGTAAAGTAGAATTTCTTCACACATTCAGGACTCACATAGGGAGGTAAACCATGTTTGTAGACAAAAATTGATAAAAGTTAAAAAAATAGAAATTGTGGTTTCATTAACTTACAATTTTAATTTCATTCCCAAATGAAGAACTTCTGTAACTGAAAAAAATCATCCAATACATATATTTTATATGTGTGTATATATTTAGATGTGTGTGTGGAAACCTGAGTATTTCAGAAGACATTCATTTGATGAGGTGTGGAGAAACAGTCATGTTTGTACTATATCTTTTTCATAGTAAAAGACTATAAGGGTGCTGGAAGTAATTTGCTCTTACCTATAAAATTTAAACTGCATATATTATTTGACTCAAAATGCAACTTCTAAAAGTCTAGATACAATTGAATGAGCATATAATGACCTGTACAATCATGTTCAATACAACATTGCTAGCAAAAGTATTTAATAACACCTTAAAAGGAATTGTGTATACTTATATGTGTATATACTTATTATTTATTATGATTATGTATATACTTATATGAAGATATACCATTGACTGTTAAATAAAAAAAGATAGTTACAGAGAAATGTCTTTATTTATTCTTCTGTTCCTATTTTTATCTATCCATCCATCATCTATCTATAGCTATCTATTACCTATCATCTTAAAGGTCAATATCTTCAAATCTTTCTCAGCTCTGTCTTCATAAGGCCTTCTTCTTTGTGTGTCTGCATCAAATTTCCTTCTGTCTCTCTTTTATAAAAATACTTGTGATGACATTTAGGGCTCGCCTAGATAATTTAGGTATATAGATATGTATACATAGATATACACATATGTATATGTACTGTGTGTAGTATATATATGTATATAACATAGTATATAAACATATACTGTGTATGTGTGTATATGTACTTAAGTATATGTGCATTTATGTATGTGTAGATGTAACATTAATACATATTATTACATATATAATATATGTGTTATATGTGTGTTATTACATATATAGGTACATATACAGATATATACATGCATATAGGTACACATACATGGACACACGTATATATACATAATGTATATATCTATATATACACATATGTATATATTTGTGTGAGATTTTAATATAGTTGGATATTAAATATCTGTACATTTATGCTTATTTTCAACCATTTATGCATATTAAACATTTTCAAGGAAGATAGATATGCATTAAATAATCCATACATTTAACATTCTCTTTTGTGGTTAATTTAAAAACTTGTGACCTGTTGTGCAACATAGGGAGTGTCTCCTGCTCTTAACTTCTGCTAATCAATACATGTAAGAGAACTTCAGTTTAATTTCTCCACAAATGTGCCAAAAGGATTTGCCTGCATGAATATCTCTGATGGTGTCTATGTAAATATTTCAAAGGACTAATGTAAACACAATAGTCACTTTATTATGATAAAGGAACATTTTTTGCACTTACCAGATTTTGTACCCTCCCATTAAGTTGGCATGGAACAGTGCTAGATTCAAGGATTCTTTTCTAAATCTTGGCTTTCTTCACTGATAAAAAAAAAAAAAAAGGCAGGTTAGATTAGTGTGACAAATATAAGTCTGACACACAACCTATGTACAGACTTTTAATATTTTATCCTTAATATTTATGGCAAGCCTATGAGACAGAAATTATTCTCACATTTAAAATTAGGAAATTGTGGATTAAGGTCTGAATATTGTGTCAAGGTTACTCAGTGGTAGATGGGATTTGAATTTAGGACTTTCACCTGCCAGATCTCTTACCACTGAGCCAGACTGCAAAGCAGATTAGTTAAACAGCTCTGATTAAATCTCTTCCTACTTCAAACCCTGTAGGGTCTTCCACTTCACTTTGAGGTAAAGATCAAATTATCCATCATACAATTCAGGGCACACACTGTCCTCTAGCCCAGGTCCCCAAAGTGGGCCATTCCAATGCTCATCTAGGAACTTTTTTGAACATTTCAGGTTGTACTATAGTTTTACAAGATGTTCCCATTAGGGGAAACTGGTTAACAGGAACATGAGAACTCCCTGCATTAGTCCTTAAGGTTTTAAGAGAATCTCCATTGATCTCAAAATAAAAAGGTTAATACAAATCAAATCTCCAATTAAGTCCTGTGTGCTTCCGGCGTTGCAAAATACTTAAGAGTCCAAGTTATAATTCCAATTCCAATTCCCAAAACTCTTTCTTCTCTTCTTCTTTTGATTCTCCTTTCCTTCCCAACTCAATAGCTTGGAAAGATTTCACATCTCTTCTCTATCTTGGTTTCAAAGCACTACTACCACCTTTCCTCCCCATACTTCTGGATACATCTGATCAAACTATCCCAAATTTGCTGCTTAGAGATCTACTGATAATACATTTGTGAGGCATCTCTCACAGCTATTTTAGAGCCTCTAGGCAGAACACAGAGTACCTCAGCATCTTATCTGCCATGAGCCATCTCACCCCCATAAGCTCCTCACCATCAGATCGATAAAGGAGATTCCTCAGCTGGGTGGAAATAGTTGAGAAGTAAAGTGAACTGAACAGGCACCATTTCTAGAGCTGTAGATCCTGCTCGCCACTGTCTTCTCTGTGTCAGGTGGAAGGGACTCTGTGAAGGTAGCTGTGGTGTGGAGTTTGATGGGAGGACTGCTGTAGGTCAGTCCTTCCTGAAATAATGGTTTCTATTTTCTGATGCAGTCAAATGCTCTGATGAAAAACTTCAGATTCCGAAGTGCATATTTCCATAAATGCAGCCTGGCTCCTTGTGGGCTGAGCCAAGGGTTGGGAGAGTAAACAGCTCCTACTTAAATATACACAGAGGACTTGCCTGGTGTTCCTTTCAAGTCCATACAAGGTCTTCTGTTACCATGTATGTCTTGTTGACACTGTGTGTTGGGGGAAGGAAAAAGGGAATAGTCCACACCAAGTAGGAATCTAGGAAAGTGGAAAAGCTTCTTCACCTATAAGAAAGTTTCATTTGGAAATGGGCAGATTGTCCCTGTACCATATGTTATAACGTCTCTATGGGTTTCTTCCACAGACTTGGTAAAATGTCTTTCTTCTTGACATGGATCAAAGCTGTTTTTATCATTGCCTTGGCATTTCCTCATTATTCTGGTGAGTACATTTTTCAGTCCTGGATGAAGCATTTCCCATATCTTAGAAATGCAGCAAACAACTGCTATTATCTAGAAATGGAGGAGTTTGATTTATAGGATTTATAAATCTTAAACTGGCAAAATTAAACAGAGTATGTTAGAAATACCTTTTAAAATTGCATCAGTGGGTTGCCTAATCTCATTTCCCACCTTAGAGAGTTGGAGACAAAGATGTGGGTTAGGATGAGCAGTACTCAGAATGAACTTGTCTTTTTGTTCATCTATGACTAAAGATATTTACTTTTTTTTTTTCTTTCCGGAGTTCAGATTCCACCGTTGCTAAATGCAGAGTGTGGAAAGTAATGATGTCTTCTAGGTCTGACATTCCTTGAAAATCTGATTTGTTGTTTGCCACCTCTGAGTCAAGGCGTTGTATAAGGAAAGAATTCATTTATTCCTCTGCAAACAACCTTACGCTCCTTAAAGCCCAAGGTGGCCCATGAATTTCAGAATAAAGTACCTGTGAGGTAGTGGATAGATCCCTGATATGAGACCTGAATACTAATTAATTAAATAATAATTAATTTCTTCATATTAAGTGACTTTTTGCGAGGCATATGAGTGACACTAAGCAAACCATTGTCTTTTCCAACTAAGATGTCTCATTTATAAAAATGGAAAAAAAATCACAACTATAGGATCTTACAGGAGTGTTTGATGATTATTAAATAATACATAAGATAATTTTCACAGAACGAGATTAATTTGGAATTATCTTTCTACATCTGAATTTATTTTGTGAACTTACTGTTTTGATACTACTATAAAAGGCTCATATCATTATTTGCAGGGTCCTGATTAGGCAATTTGTGTAATATTTTGCTACTAAGAGATGTGGGTACTTTTCACCAGAGACTCTGATGGTTTTCCCCTCTTCCTCCTCTTATTTTTAATTTGTGTGTGTGGCGGTTGGTTGCAGAAACTTCTTTTGAACCTTTACCAGAAATTCGTCAAGTGGTAAGTTAATACTGATTACTTCAGAAATTGAAATGGTAAGCCTTTAATTTTTTTATATTGTAAGTTTTAACAGCAAATTTCCCTCTGTACAACAGAATGATCCTTCAAAAGTAACAAACAAACAGTTTTATTATTACGCTAAGTTCAAGAAACAGAATCTTGCCAGACATACAAAATCATTTGGCATTAAAGACAAGGTAAAAATATCCCATTACTAAAAAATTCCATTACTAGTTATAGCTTTGTTATAGACAAGTGTCTGTTATGGATTAAGGGGTGTTTAAAATAGAATTGTTTATCTTAGCAAAACAAGAGGATTAAAAAAGCAACAACCCAATTTTTCACTAAATGGTAGATAAAATAATAATTGTCATACATTCACAGAATCAATTATTACATCAAGGTGATGAAAATGAACTATAGGTCTAAACATGTGAATAGATAAAAGTTATAAAGACATTTAAAAAGCAGGTTATGTAAGAATACACACGTTGTTTATTTACATAAATAACCAACACTGTCATCATTAAGCAAATTACATACATATCTATATGGTTATATACACATATACAAACACTCATATGTATGAATTCATACAAGTGTGGTAATAATCTGAAACTAACAGATTATGTAGTAGTAAAACTATTGAGAAAGACAAGGGAGTTATTAAAAATTGTTTTATGATTTCTTGTGGTATGAAATATAGGTGACTTTTAAACTGCATGGGTCCACTTATACACAGATTGTTTTACAGGACAGTACAATCTTCCTTATGATTTTCTTTTTTTTTTTTTTTTTAAGATTTTATTTATTTATTTGACAGAGAGAGAGACACAGTGAGAGAGGGAACACAAGCAGGGGGAGTGGGAGAGGGAGAA